TTGATTTATGAGAACATTCACTTATATTGTTTGATAAGAAACATGATAACTGATAAGAATCTGATTAGAAATAATTTCCTACAGTTTGAAAATTGTGTAGAAGCATTGATTCACCTTAGTATTGTCGAGATTGGTGTATATTAGACTTTTCATTTTTTCTGATAGTCGAGAGCCGTGCAAAGTTAGTTGTTCAAATAGTGTGAGTTCACGGACGCACGCTAGCCACGTACTTAGGAGGCCAAATATGTAAAAATTTAAATATTTGTAATTTCAGCAATTTATGTAAAAATGACTTGTAAAACATTTCAGGTTGATTGTACGTGCTAAAAAGGTGAATTCTGTGTTATTTTTGTGTGAAAATTCCTGTGTATAAGTGAAATAATGATAGTCTTACATAAGAAATTTAAAAGTGTTTTAAATAGTGAAATTAATAGAGAAAATGTGAATTAAACTATTGTATTAGTTAACATATGTATAATTTCAAGTGGGAAACATTGTTTTAACTTTCTATGTTAAATATTTGAGAAATTTCGACTTTGAACTTGTGAGTAAAATAGTTAAATAAATAAAAGGTTTATTGTGATATGAAAATGTAATGTATATCGTAGTATAGATATTGTTTTGTGCTATCTATACAGGTAAATTATGTTAATGTATGACTTATGCAAATAAAATTATTAAGTAAACCGTGAGAGAGTGATAGAACAAATTGATGTAATTGAGTTGCGCAAGCGCGCGAATGGTGCGGTTCACTTTCGCGTAGAGGGTCGCGTTCGTATACGGCTTAGAGATCTCTAGTCAGATCGTTAAGCCAATTCCCAAAAGGTTGAGTTTAGTGGGTAAAAGTCTCCACATAACCACGCAGCCGGCTGCGTGGTATGCTATGAGCATTCTCAACCTCCCTCTCCCGCTTTCCGGAGGGTTGCCCATATTTGCTTCGGGCGCAAAAAAAAAATTGCAATTCGTTCGGGAAATATTCGGGAAATGTTCGGGAAATATTCGGGAAATAAGTTCGGAAATCCTTCGGGAAAAGTGAAAAACCAGCAGTCAATAAGAAGAAAAAGTATAGGGAAGTGATAGAGAAAAAGTGATTACTCTCTCACGGAACGGTTTGAAGATAATTGCTGTTTTTCCCAAGAAATTCATCCCTCAAGTTATACAGTCCACATCGAAGAATTAAGGCGTTGGGACCGGGACGACTTCGAAAGACCCGTAATCCCCGTCTGAACCTACCTGCTGAAAAGGAAGAGGTTATCGCCCTTGTGTTACTCCGTTGCGGAGATCACATACGTTGTTCCCGAACCCAACGTAGGCGTTATAGGAGGCCGGATCGAGAGAAGCCTCGATTCCTCCCTTCTGTTTCTTAGTTGAACGTTTGCACACTTTTTGGTTCCTTTTCACCGCTTTATTTTATTTTAGTCTTAAATGCGACTTATTACGAAATAATGTTTTTATATAGCACGCGATCTATCCAATGAACGACATGTAATGTAACGTGCTAAGAGATATAACGTGCCTTAAAACTTAACGCGCTTACCGGCCTCCTACACGCCTTCTTATAATTAGCGCGCTATAACATAGCGTATTTAATAGCGCGCTAGAAATTTATAGTTTATAGTCTGTAGCTTAGCTATTGATTTATAGTCGTTTTGAACAACTTTACAACACAACAATGATTTAGATGATAACTCATTGGGTATTAAACATTAAAAAGTATATTATCCCTTGGCAAAAGCGGCAGAATCGACGACTGGAACGTGACAAGTTAAACAACATTGCGGCTAGCGTTTTTACGTGTAACTTTAAAACAATAAATAAAAAGTAATTTTTATGGCATAAATCGGTTTTAAAAAAAATACATAAAAATTATAGTGGTTCATTATCACTCTATAATTCATTTAAAACAATTTTTGAAAATAGGTGGAATACCCTATTATATTGTGTGTAATGTAACACATGTGCAATATAATTGTGCCCTGCTCTGCTCTGACGACTGGTTTTTAGTGGTTACTTGTTGCTTGTTCTTGATTAAAAAGATACTCTATCCAGTGATGCCAATTTAGCAACTTTATAGCTAGATCTAGCTATTATTTGGTGACAGAAAGCTACAATTTAATACAACTTGTAGCTAAACTTCTTAGTTACTTTTTCTAGCAACTTTTCATTTCATCATGAGACGTTATCGAAATTCGTCGAGTAGTGTGCCGAGTCGAAAGAAAAAAATCTATGGTCATAGATGCTATGGTAAATACAGGTCGACGCTGGCCGGGAATTCCCCGTTTCCTCTTCAACAGAATACTTAGTAAACTAAAATAGTACGCGCTATTCGTATTCTACCTTGTGTTGTTTTGTTTTATCCACATAAAACTAATTTAATTTAATTTAAAAATGGTTTTACCTTTGAAAAAAACCTACGCACAAAAATACAGACTGGAGTGGGAAAATATGGACGAATTTAAAGGTTGGCTAAAATCGGCAAGTGGAGACTCAAGCAAAGCATTTTGTACATATTGTTCTACGGAGCTTCTTGCTACACTGTCTTTGATATAAAGAAGCATGCTGAGACCAAAAAGCACAAACAGAAATTAGAGTTCAAAATAGGTACGTGAATGAATTTTTAAGTTCGTTTTGTTGATATCAGACTCTATCGATGGGAAAAATGAGTTTGATATTTTCATTTTACCAATTTTTTAGGGTCAAATAATATTTTACGTCTTGGGTCCTTATGTATATTAATTTTGTCTATACAGGCAATAACGAAATTCCTTTCAAAGTTGTACCGAAAGACCATTTATTTAGACCTTGCGATGAATCTGAAGGCGCATTGACCTTATTTATTGCCGAGCACTGTTCTATATTAAGTGTTGACCATTTAGGTGAACTACGCAAAATGTGTTTCAAAGACTCCAAAGCTACACACGAGCTTAAATTGCATTGCACTAAATGTACAGAAAATGTGCGTCCCCCCAGAAAGCCCAATCGAGCTAGGTGTATTTTCAATATATCAGAATTTAGAGCAAAAATGGAGCACCTCTACAGTCAAGTAAATAAATTGGAGCATTAATACGAACGACGCTGCGAGCTAAAAACCGTGGGCTTGCTGGCGTCCTGTCCCGTCAGCAAGCCCAAGCTAGATCTCGGGAACCGTTGAGAGTACTATCGTGTATTGTGGTTCAAATTTTCAAGCAAAATTGGAGCACTCTGCTCCCGTGAAATCAACTTCGAAACTAGAATGTGAAAGGAGTTAGACGTGATTAACCGGTGGGCTTGCTGGCGTCCTGTCCCGTCAGCAAGCCCACGCAGATCTCTGAAACGGTAATGATTTGGATTATGATTAAAAACTCTACAGATGAGCCCTATTTAGAGCACTCTGCTCCAAAAAAATATTAATGTAGCTTCAATAGTTCTCGAGTTACAGGCCTTTAGCGGCCCAGCGCGAAAACCGTGGAACCTAGGATTTTGATCTATTTGGAGCATAGTTCTCTCATTCTAAGCTACGATTTGAGATATTTTTGACGACTCTCCGTTCAGTAGTTTCCACGCTCCAAATGGGCTTGCTGACGGGACGCGACGCCAGCAAGCACGTTTTCAAAGGCCTGTAACTCGAGAACTATTGAAGCTACATTAATATTTTTTTGGAGCAGAGTGCTCTAAATATGGCTCATCTGTAGAATTTTTAATCATAATCCAAATCATTACCGTTTCAGAGATCTGCGTGGGCTTGCTGACGGGACAGGACGCCAGCAAGCCCACCGGTTAATCACGTCTAACTCCTTTCACATTCTAGTTTCGAAGTTGATTTCACGGGAGCAGAGTTCTCCAATTTTGCTTGAAAATTTGAACCACAATACACGATAGTACGTATTAATGCTCCAATTTATTTACTTGACTGTAGAGGTGCTCCATTTTTGCTCTAAATTCTGATATATTGAAAATACACCTAGCTCGATTGGGCTTTCTGGGGGGACGCACATGTACAGAAATAATGAAAAATGTGCTGATACCGCACTTTCGCAAGGAGCTCTTAGATGATATTGGATATGAAAAGTTCAGCATTATAATGGATGAGTCCATAGACGTCATTATCAGTAAACACCTTGGTCTTGTAATTAGGTATTATAGAGCCGTACAGGAAAGGATAGTAAGCTCATTACTGGAACTAGTTTCTATTGAGAGTGCAGATGCTAGGGGAATCGTTAATGGCTTGGTATCATGCTTAGAGAGTCACAACTTAGATATCAAACAAATGATTGGAATTGGAACTGATAACGCATATGTTATGACATGCATTAATAACGGGGTTCATGCAATCCTAAAAAGAGAATATGGTATAGATATAGAAAATTTGATACTGATACGATGTGTCTGCCACTCGTTGCAGTTAGCAGTGACCCATGCCTCCGAAATTACTCTGCCAAGAAATTTAGAGTTTTTGGTTAGAGAAATTTATAAATGGTTTTCTGTGTCTCCTAAGCGGCGAGACGAATACACAGAAATTTACGAACTTATAAGCTGTGGCGAAAGTCCGTTGAAAATCACCAAGGTGTGCGATACACGTTGGCTTTCAATAGAGCCAGCGATAACAAAAATTGTGACACAATGAGAAGAATTGAAAATACATTTTAATTTAGCAAGAGTGAAAGACAATTGCTACTCAGCTGAACTTATTTACAACATGCTCGAAGACAAAAGAAATTATTTATATTTTGTGTTTCTGAGAAGCGTTTTAAATGATGTTCAAACAGCAATTAAATCATTTGAAAGTGAAAACACTAATCCAGTGATTCCCAAAGTGGTCTATATCGACCCCTAGGGGTATATGACAAGCTGCAAGGGTTCTACGTCAGCGAAAAAAATTTGGGGGTCCATGAAATGAAAATGGGGGTCCACGATAGTGGATCTCAACACATATACTGATAGTACCTATTTACTTACATCATACTGTCTTATAATATCAAAACATATACATTATTTATAAAACTATATATAGCGTAAATACAATGGATCCAGATTCCGACGGGGGCCCGACCCCCGACGAGCAAAAATCAAAGAAAAGGAAATTGCCCGATACTCGCAAAGGAAATGCCGTCGACTACAAAATTTTTGCAAAAACAAATTACACGCGACAATTCCCAGAAAACCACAGCGTCGACTGCGTAGTCTACGTTGAATCACAAGAAAACGAAAAAATTGGTAACAAAAATCCAATAACACTTACAAAGTTATTTACGGAAAATGTAAAAGGAATCGCTGGCGTCCACAGAGTGAACGCATATAAAGTGGGCATAATGTTCAGAAAACCAGCACCGGCCAATAACTTCCTTACCATGACACACTTTCTGGGAAAACACAAATTAAAAGCGTTTGTGCCTGCGCACCTCACTGAAATTACTGGAGTCATAAGATACGTACCTAAAGACTTAAGCAATGAAGACATAAACAAAAGCATTACCTGTGATGCAGAAGTCATCTCCGTCAAGAGATTTATGCGAAAGGTAGATGGAAAGCTCACTCCGCTGGGGACCATTGCAGTGACCTTCGCTGCGACAGCGCTGCCGCAGCACGCCTACATACAGATGTTCAGATACCCGGTCCACATATACATCCCTCCATTACTACAGTGCTACAAATGCCTGAAGTTTAATCACTCTGCGAAAGTCTGCCGAGGATCTCAAATGTGTTCTTCGTGCTCCGGACAACACTCCTACAAAGAATGCGACGTCGAAAAAATTGTGTGCATCAACTGTCAAGGTGGTCACTAAGCCATCTCTAGGGACTGTCCAGTGAAGCAACAAAAGATGGAAGAGAAGAAGAATAAGTATTTAAAACCAAACCGATCGTATGCCGCTGTGGTGAGTATCCCAGCAATACCCGACCCGAGAGCATTCCCAAACCTTAAACCTGTAAAGACTGTTGATACTGCCATAAATAAAGTACCATATAATGCTGAGCAAATACTAAACAACGAGTTAATTATTAATGCGCTAGTCAAATCATTAGTTATGCTTGGCAATGACAAGAGCAGCGCTCCAATTACAAATAAAAGAATTAAAGACATACTTTTAAGTAATTTAATACCATAATGGATACATATTTGAATATAGCACAATATAACATACAGAGCTTACAGAACAAAAGGGCCTTACTTAAAAAAATTCTTTCAGAACAACATATAGATATCTGTCTTTTAAATGAAACCTGGCTTAAAACAACTAGTACAATTCCCGATTTTTCACCCTATAATTTTATACACAAAAACTCAATAAATGAACATAATGGAGTAGGTATATTAATTAAACAAAACTTAAAATACACTATTGTAAATACAACTTTTTTTCGAATCTGTGCAAAATATTTGCATTTCCGTAGACACAACTATGGGTAAGTTACATATTCTATGTGTATATTGTCTCCCAATAGCAGCAGGTTTACTACTAGCAAAATGAAAAAGGTGCTACTTGAAACTCCTAAGCCATGTCTTATTATAGGAGATTTCAATGCTCACCATATCCTGTTTGGATGTCAGACAAATAATAATAGAGGTAACAGTTTATATGCACTTATTGATGACTTTGACTTGTGTATTCTGAATGATGGTGACACAGCTACAACTGTCCAGTATCCTAACAGAAATCAGTCGGCAATAGATTTAGCTCTGGTTAGTTCTGCGTTAACTCCTCTTTGTGAATGGCACATCCACGACGATCCGATGGGCAGTTACCACTACCCAACTGTGGTCGCTCTAAATGTGAAGCCTTCTATATATGAAGTGCGTCCTGTGGAAGAAAAATACATTTATAATAAAGCAGATTGGTCTAAATATCAAGAACTATCAGAAACGAGATTTTGTAATTTAGAAATACATGGTACAGAACCTATTGATTTGTATAATAATTTTGTAAATATTTTGTATGATATTAGAGCAGAGACTGTTCCAAAGCAAACACCACAACAAACTTTAAAGGTAATGAGAAAACCTGCACCCTGGTGGAACCAAACATGTGATGATGCTGTTCGAAAGTCTAAGGAGGCCCTCAAAGAGTATAGAAAATCGCCTAGTATTCCTAATTTCATTAACTACAAAAAACTTGATGCTCAAAAGAAAAGGATATTAAAAGAAGAAAGTATTAATACATGGCACAATTTATGTACTAGTTTTAATAGAATGACACCTATTTCTCGAATATGGAACTACATGAAAAGGTTTAGAAGGATAGGTTCTTCTCATAACAGATATTTGGCTGATGATTGGATACCAAGTTTCTTAGACAACATAACAGACTCATCACAGTTGAATGAAGATTATTTGAATGATATTTTAGATCAATCTGTTGAAAATGAAAGTAACTCGTTTCTCAATAGACCATTTACACTAAATGAATTGTACATAGCACTCAAAAGTAGGAAAGATACAACACCAGGGTTGGACAGCATACCATATATGTTAATAAAAAAATTACATCCTAATGCACAAGAAATGTTATTAAATATTTATAATAAACTTTGGAATAATTTAGCTATACCAGAGTCATGGAAAACCCAATGTGTAATCCCCATTTTAAAGCCAAATAAAGCTGCTAATGATCCATCATCATACAGACCTATTTCTTTGTCATCATGTTTAGGTAAGCTTTTTGAAAACATGTTAAAGTTGCATCTAGATTATTTTGCTGAAACACAGGATAAACTACCTCAAATACAATTTGGATTCAGAAAAGGCAGAAGTTGCTCTGAAAGCTTTGTATCTCTGATATCGGAACTTAAAAAGGCCAAACTTAGCCATTCTAATGTTATATGTGTATTTTTAGATGTTAAAGGTGCCCTTGACAATGTTATCAAGCAAAACTTTTATAAATGTGTCATAAAAGTTTTGCATGAATTGGGCTTGCCAAGAAATGTATTAATCTGGATTTTAAATTTCTTGCATGATAGGACTCTTTTTGTTAAATTTAACAATAAACTACATGGACCTAGGCCTGTTAACAAAGGAACAATGCAGGGAGCGACACTTTCACCTTTGTTGTATAATTTATACACATCTCTGATACTTAATTATGTAGATACATCACAAGTTAAAATATTACAGTTTGCAGACGACATACTTTTATACAGTGAAAACCAGAATATAAATACAGCAATTAATAGAATTAATACTGCATTGGCACAATTGCATCATTATTATAGCAACATTTTAAAATTAGAAATAAGTTCTGAGAAAAGTAAAGTTTTAGTATTCAGTAAAGACACATTTGTAAACTCTGGAATTAAAATTAACTATAATAATGATGCAATTCCTATAGCCAATCATCATAAATTTTTAGGAGTTGTGCTAGATGATAAACCGAAATTTGATAAGCATATCAACTATATCTGTCAGAATGCCATGAAGAGCATAAATGTACTAAGAAGCTTAGCAGGAACCTTTTGGGGGTCTGATCCAAAAACACTTAGCATGCTGTATAAAAGTATTGTAAGGAGTCACTTTGACTATAGCTCTCTAGCTTACATGAATATTAGTAGCACATTGTTAAGAAAATTGGATGTGATACAGAATATGGGTCTGAGAATAATCAGTGGAGCCATGCGCACCACTCCTATTGTTTCTATGGAAGTTGAAAGTTGCATACCTCCATTGTCCTTGCGGCGTTTGCAGTTGGCTGAAAGATTCTGTTTGAAGGAGTTGTCTTGTAGCAATGATATTGTCCTGAGTAATGTTTTATATCCTGCAGAAGTCTCCCAGTTAATTGGAACAGCCAACATCTCGGCTAATACTCTTATTTCGGGTACATTGCCTGAATTAACAACAATAACAACTTGTGTAAAAAATCAGACAAGAGATATGTACATCAGTAACAAGTGGCCTGTTTACAAATGCCCATATGATACATTACTTAATTATCTTGATATAAAATGTCATTTAGATTCGGTTAGTACTAAGAATGAATTCTTAGAATTTTTAAATGAAAAGAAAGACTTCTACACTATATGTACTGATGGCTCCAAGAGTGATCTTGTTAAAGCAGCATTTTATGACCCACAAATGAAAGTTATTAAATGTATAAAGTTGCCAAGTAATTGTAGTATTTTTACAGCAGAAAGTTGGGCTATATTAGCTGCTTTGTCATATGTACATACCAATGTAAATAGTGTAAATATCTTGATAGTCAGTGATTCTAAAAGTGTTTTATCTGCTTTATGTAACTGTAATTTAGAATATAAACAGAATTATATTTTGTATAAAATTAAGGATAAGCTGCAAACGATTGGAAAATGTATAGAATTCTTATGGGTTCCCTCAAACAGTGGCATAGTCGGAAACGAGATAGTGGATCAGGCGACGCGGCAAGATCATAGATAAATAAATATGTAGCAACAAGCTAGGCAAGATCACCACGAAGACCAAACACAAGATTTTTTTTTTGGAGTTTATGGCCTGGTATCTAGACCTTTAGGCCAAAACACAAGATTGTAAAGTCCCCTTCACAGATTATTATCGACACTTTAAAATCTTGTCAAAGAAACTGTGGAAGGATTACTGGAACGTTACTACCGTGAATAAGGGAAAATGGTACGCAGAATTTCAACCAGACTTACCAACGATTCCGTGGTACAACCGCCTTAAATACACAGGCCGAAAGTTCATAACGATCATACCCTTTCACTCGGCCACCAATCTAATCAGATCATACAATACCTACGTCGGCTCGGGTACGGGGCTAATTAGATCAGATAAGATCAGAAGTACTGCCTTATGAAAAAACTACTTTTTCCTTTAAAACAAAACCAAAGACAATATGCAATAGATAATAGTATCAAAGACAAAGATATGCTCTTTTATTTTAAACCATAACCTGGCAATGTTTCTTAGAAAAAAAAAAAGAAATCACTCTGAACTTTCGGCATTCCACGTGTCGATTTGATGAAGGTGCTCCGTCTTTTTTAAAGAATTTTATATTTGTGTCTGGACTAAAAACGAAAGTATTATACTTTTTTATATTCCTTGTAATATAGTAAACACGTAGATATGTAATTTGTGGTATAAAAAGTGAAAAGTAAATTGCCAAAAGTACTTCAAATTCCGGAAGGCCCGTTTTGGCGGGTGGGTTATAAATGTGTTATTTTTCAAATTCTCATTTATTTTTAGTGTAAAATGTAAGTAAAAATAGTTTTCCTACATATTTCAAATAACATGACGTTGTATTTATTTCAAATTCACACAAACATATTTTAGAAATATTGTTCGAAATGTCATACAGATAAAATATTATTATTTTTTTAATTTTTTAATATTTTAATATTTTGGTATGAGTAACGAATGGAAACACATAAAACATAAAAATATACATATTTCCAAACAATTTCATATAAATTTCTCCAAAAACAAAAGTGTAGAATTCAAATTAGTAGTAATTTTGTCACTAAAATTGAAGTATATACTACTACTATGCTGTACAGGGTAATTTATATACTTTATTACAATTTCTAGCAACCAAAAATAATTTTATTCGATAGTTTATACATTCAACAAGAATTCCTGTAAGTTTCATCCATAAATATTGTCTCAAAGTGAAAATATAGCAAAATTTGCAATATAGCAAAAAATTTCCTAACTTAGAAATTTTCCCGCCATTAAGGTCCTGAGGGAACGGGAGTATAACATGTCGCGCGCTGTCAGAGCTAACGGGCCGCTTGCGGTTTGGCCATTGCCTCGTCCCTGCACATCTGTACAGAATGAAGATCGTAGCTGATGACAAATGCACAC